ATACCTTCTTACTTTCAATAATATAGAAACTTTCTATTCCTGTGACTTCAATTGCCCATCTTATTGTTACAAATTATTTGTATACATGTGTGCCCATTAACACAATTTTATAATTATTGTTTTATGTATTAATATTTTAAATCAAAACAAGAATTATAAGCCAATAATATGGTAATACTGGCTTTTTCATGTTTGCCTATGTACTTAACCTTTACCCATATTCCTTATTTCTTCAGAAGACATCATGTTACTGTCTAGTGTCTTTTCATTTCAGCTTGAAGTACTCCCTTTAGCATTTCCTGCAGGGCAAATCTACTAAAAGCAGAAGATTTTTGTTTTTATTTATCTGTGAATTTATTTGGGAATATATTAATGCCTTTTTAATCTTTGAGGTATATTTTTGCCACATACACAATTCTTGTTTGACAGTTTGGTCTTTGAGCAATTTAAATATGCCATCCAAATGCCTTCTGGCTTTTTCATGTTTCTCATGAGAAATTGACTTTTTCCCACTGAGATTCCCTCATATGTCATAGGTTGCTACTCTCCTGATACTTCCAAGATTCTCCTTGGCTTTAGTTTTTGACAGTTTGATTACAATATGGATAGTGTGGATATCTTTAGTTTTTCATACTTGGAATTCACTGAGCTACTTTTAAATGTATAGATTTATGTCATATATCAAAATTTGGGAATTTTTTAACCATTATTTCTTCAAACATCATTACTGCTTCTTTTTCTCTTTTCCTCCTGTGACTCTCATTTGTATGTTGGTGTGCTTGATGTTTCTCCAGAGGGATCTTAGGTTGTGTTCATTTTTCTCCAGTCTTTTTACTTTCTGTTTGTTCCTCCACTGAATAATATCAACTGAACTATTTTTAAGTTTGCTGACTTTTTTCTTCTAACTTCTCAAATCTGCTCTTGAACCCTTCTAATGAATTTTTCATTCCAAGTACTGTTTTATATCTACAGAAATTTTGTTTCTTTTTTATAGTTTCTATCTCTTTACTGATATTTCTGTTTCTTGAGACATTGTTCTCCAGGTTTTGATTGCCTTTTTTTCATGCTTTCCTTTAACTTTTTCCACATATTTAGGATATTTACTTTAAAGTCTTTGTTTATTAAGTCCAATATTTGGGCTTACTCAGGGACTGTTTCTACTTTAGTTTTTTTTTTTTCTTCTGAATGAGCCACCTGGGCTGCCCATAGGCTTTTTAATCTCTATATTGCTTGTCCCACATGGTTGCAGCAGTATGTTTATGTATAAATGATTTCAACAAGTGCTGCCCGATAAACCACTTCTTTAAGAAAATTCCAAGGCAGGCAAAAAAAAAAAAAGTCAAGTCCTCAGACGTCTCTGGAAATCTTCAGAGAGGTGAAATTAAAAAAACATGTTTCTTTGATAATAAGATCTGTGTTGCCCCTCTGGATCAAGCAAGGTAAACCAGGAACACAGGCAGCCATCCTCATGGCTGCCTATGAGCTAGGTAGTGTAGGATGGTAGGTGGTAAGTTAAAAGGCTACAACATTTAATTCCTCATTAAATGCTCCCTTGGTTATTATAAGATTTTTTTGTATATAATTTTATTGGAGTTCGATATGCCAACATATAGCATAACACCCAGTGTATTGTAAGATTTTTTTTTTTACCACAGTTTTCTAAAACATTTGATTTTGATAGTTTTTGCCACCTTAATTTCTTCCTTTGGTAAAGAATAGGGTTTTGGAATTTCTTACTCTACCATTTTCAATGACATCACAACTATGAGAATTTTTAATCAAGCCAATTCACACAGAATTTAGAAGTTTCATGTCACTCTATTTGGGTGAAATGAATATCATGTAGACAATTTTGAGTTTCCAACAAAGTTGTGAACCTAGGTACATTGCTCAAATAGATAAATCCCTGAAGGACATCTACCTTTTCCTTAGGTCTTAAAGAATTACAATAGATGTATTTTCAAGGAAAAGTTATACTTCACAGTTAAAAATCACATGAGAAAAGACACATGAGAAAACTCTCAAGACCTAGTGCTCTAAGAATCAAAACTCTCAGGAATTTCATATTTTGGAATTTTCAATCATGGAGAATTAAATATATCTAATAGGTTTCTAGAAAAAAGAAATGAAATTATTAAGTGCCAACAAAAATTCTAAATAAATTAGAAAAATAAATACAAATTGAAATTCTGCAAAGGACAATGTATACTAATTGAAATTGATATTTTATAGCATATTCACATGAGAAAATACATTAAGTGGAATTGATTACAATTTTTTTGCAGTTAGAAATAAGAGACAATATTTCATATAGAAGGGAAACAAGGAATTATAGAGGCAACATTTGAAGAAATGAATGAGAGTATTTCAGAATTGATGAAAAACAGAAGCCACATCTTCAAAAACCCCAGTGAATCTAAAGCCCCTTAAGGAAAAGACATACACATCTAAACCCATCATAGTAAAATTGTACACATCATATTCATATACACGAAATTAAGATGACCTTAATAAAAGCTAAAGAATATAAATTGCCTTCAAACGAGAACATCAATGGAAACCAGAACACAATGGAATTAAACCCTCACTGTAAAAGAGACAACTCTGTCAATGTAGAATGCAACCCCCAAAAATGAGAGGGGAAAAAAAAGTTACAGAAATATAGCTTTTGGATCTTATTTTTATGGTATAGGAAATATAGGGCATAAAACAAGTTAAACAATATCATGCATATTCAGTCAAATTAGGAATGTAGGACATTATTCAAAAGAATAATCACAATTTCTTCAAAAAGCTAGTGTCATAGGAAAAAAGTGAAGAGAATAAACTATTATAGATTAAATGAGATTCAAGAAATAATGACAACTAATGCAGAGCATGTTTCTTGATTGGAACCTGTTTTGTAAAACTGCTATAAAACCACATTTTGGAACAATTGGGAAATTATTAATGTAGAGTAAATCAGATACAGGGAATTATAGCTAATCCTACTGCTAGGGAAACTGGTAGTTTAGTTATATAGGAGAATGTTCTTATAAAGATGCATCGTAAATTATTTAGGCTTACATGTTATAACTTATTTTTAAAAGTTTAGGCCAAAAAATGTATAAGAGAAAAAGATAAATATGTATTTATTGAATCCAGGTAGGTATATTAGCCTGCCTAATTCCAACAACACAGAAGCATATGTCCCTTGTGTTCTCTTTCTTTTTCCATCCCTACAGAAAATAGTACAGGTCTTGATTTTTAGGTTAACAATGTATCTAGGCTATCTTTGAATGCTTTTTCTTTTAATATATAACGCTTGTCTTTCCATTTAAAGTACAAATTTAATCTATTTCTCTTTTTATTTTTTATTTTTTTTATTTTTTAATAAATTAATTTTTATTGGTGTTCAATTTACCAACATACAGAATAACACCCAGTGCTCATCCCGTCAAGTGTCCCCTCAGTGCCCGTCACCCATTCACCCCCACCCCTCGCCCTCCTCCCCTTCCACCACCCCTAGTTCGTTTCCCAGAGTTAGGAGTCTTTATGTTCTGTCTCCCTTTCTGATATTTCCCACACATTTCTTCTCCCTTCCCTTATATTCCCTTTCACTATTATTCATATTCCCCAAATGAATGAGAACATACACTGTTTGTCCTTCTCCGATTGACTTACTTCACTCAGCATAATACCCTCCAGTTCCATCCACGTGGAAGCAAATGGTGGGTATTTGTCGTTTCTAATGGCTGAGTAATATTCCATTGTATACATAAACCATATCTTCTTTATCCATTCATCTTTCAATGGACACCGAGGCTCCTTCCACAGTTTGGCTACTGTGAAATTGCTGCTAGAAACATCGGGGTGCAGGTGTCCCGGCGTTTCATTGCATCTGAATCTTTGGGGTAAATCCCTAACAGTGCAATTGCTGGGTCGTAGGGCAGGTCTATTTTTAACTCTTTGAGGAACCTCCACACAGTTTTCCAGAGTGGCTGCACCAGTTCACATTCCCACCAACAGTGTAAGAGGGTTCCCTTTTCTCCGCATCCTCTCCAACATTTGTGACTTCCTGCCTTGTTAATTTTCCCCATTCTCACTGGTGTGAGGTGGTATCTCATTGTGGTTTTGATTTGTATTTCCCTGATGGCAAGTGATGCAGAGCATTTTCTCATGTGCATGTTGGCCATGTCTATGTCTTCCTCTGTGAGATTTCCTACTCTTCCATTTGTTCCTGAGTGAAGACCATTGTGCTTCTGTCCCATTTTTACTACTACAAACTAGCTACAGAAATCAACTTTCTCTATACAATTTGCACTTGAGAAGGGAGTATGTATATCTACCTGAAAAGTCCTAGACCTAAAACTTTTTAAAAAGATCTTATTTATTTATTAATGAGAGACACACAGAGAGTGGCAGAGATACAGGCAGAGAGAGAAGCAGGCTCCATGCAGGGAGCCCGATGTGGGACTCGATCCCAGGACTCCAGGATCATGCCCTGGGGAGAAGGCAAGGGCTCAACCGCTGAGCACCCAGGCGTCCCTAGACCTAAAACTTTTACCAAAAAAACTTGAACATTGTATATTTTACTATTTATTTCAAAAAAATCTTGCAAATATTGTAATGTATATTTCTGCCAACAGTGTATTGCAGTGTCTAGTTTCCTACACCTTAGCAAACACTGTCTATTCTTTATATTTTGTGTATAGTTTTACAGGAAAAAAATAATTGTTTCAATTATAAGTAATTTTAAGGGTCACATAGCATTCTATCCTATGACTGTGACATCACTGAACCAGTTCATGTAGTTGACAATTTAGGATGATTTTCACTTTTCCCTCTTACAAAATATACATCAATGAATACTGTGGTAGGCTGAAAATTACCTCTCAAAAGATACCAATGTTTTAACTCCTGGAACCTGTGAATGTTACCATACGTGGCAAAAAAGGTTCTTCAGAGATTATCCTTCATTGGTAGAGGGCTCTAAATGTAATAATAAATATCTTTTTAAGAGAGCTGCAGAAGGATATTCACACAGAAGAGAAGACACAAGTGGAAGAGAAGGCAATGTGACCACAGAGGCAGAAACTGGGGTAATGAAGCCACAAGTCAAGGAATGCTAGCAGCCACTAGATGCTGGAAGAGGAAAGAAAGGGATTGTTCCTGAGAACTTCTGGAGGGAGCATGTCACTACCAACACCTTGATTTTGGCCTAGTGATACTGGTTTTGCATTTCTGCTCCCCAAAACTATGAGAATAAATTTTGGTTATCAGCCACCCAATCTGTGGCAATTTTTTACATTACCAATAGGAAGTGAACACTAACATTCTTTTAGTTATTTCATTTGTTAAAGTATATGTTTCATGTATATCATTTGACTCATTCAGCCAAACAATAAGTTTCCCCTTGTCTCCGCTCCCCCGCAATTTATGATTATAATAACAGGACCTACAGGACTGTATGTATATGTGTGTATGCACCGAGTGTATGTGTAAGTGCACATGCATACTGCACATCTGGTGATGTCTATCGAATTTGTTTCCCCTTGGAACTTTATTATTGTCCTACCCCTATCGTTTCTAAATTCCATCCATCCCATAACAGATGAGTTAGGCTGGTGATTAAAAGGATGACAATTTTAATTATTTTTTTGGAAACATCCCTTACTATTGCATTAGGATGCACTTTTATAAGTAGAAATGCTGACTCAAATAGAATGACCAAATTTAATTCAATTTCACAGGTGGCACTCAGAAAATTGTACCAATTTACAGTGCACAAATTAGAATTAAATATAAAATCATCAAGAAATGAGAAATGTAATCATCCTGACATTTCACAAAGAATAAGCTCTAATTGCTGTCAAGGACCATCCTTCAAGCTTTAGCCATAGTTGACTTACAAGTGATCAGTAATAGACAAGAATTCATGCATAAGTGCCTCCCAAAGTAGTTTTGTAGTCATTCATGACAAGACCACAAAGCTTGGATTTAGCCAACTTTGATATTTATCTCAGGACCAGGAGAGGGAAGGCACAAATCTAAAGGAACATGTGAGAATATGTAAAGCAAAATGATTAAAGAATATGAAGATTTGTAACAAGAAATAAAGTTTGACCAACTAAAATATTAAAAGAATCTTTAAATTCATATGTAAAAAAATACTGGTTTTCATCTATGACATTGGTGAGGCTTTTCATCTTAAATGTTGGATACATAAAATCAGAAGAATTGAGTAAATAAGCATACCAATAATTTGCTGTAAGGACTGTACTATGGTATGATTTTAACACAGAAATAATTTTATAATATCAGTAAATAGAGGAGATCCATATTTTTGGGTCCAGCACTTTCACTTGTAGAAATACATAATTAGGAAATAAAGTAGACAAGTGAGATAAAAATGTGTGTATGATGATGGTGATCATGGCTTAAAACAGTAGTCTCTGTTTCATATAGAAAAAAAAAGTGACAGTTTAGCACTAATAAATGCTACTGGCAGTGCATCTAAACCACAAATAATGGTGAGCTCTGAGAGATTCTAAAGGGAATGCAGATGCCAATGAGAAGAGACAGTGCGTCCACTTAAAAAGACTTATTCAAATATTAGATGTCAACTGATTCACTCATCTCTGGATAATTTTATAAATATCACAAGAATTGCCTCATATTCTCCAGACCTAGAAGGCATTACACCAGGAAGGCAAAGGGCTAGGTTCTCCTGTGGGCTCCTATGTTTGGAATCTGAAAGAAAAGGCAAAAGCAGTTAACAGGAAAAAGTATTCAGTGTGTGGCCATCTAGCCAGCTGAGGGCAGGACTTCCATGCATGAAATGCTGCTATTTGAGGGACAAAGGCCAGTAATCCTCATCTTCTGTCAAGTAGTAACTGATTAGCACCATGATAGGCACTAGGGTAAAAGTGATAAAATGAACAGACACAATTTTACAGGGATCATGAAATCTGAAAGGAACCAGGCAGTCCACTAGTGTCTTATATTGTTTCATTCCTCCTCTAGTATAGCACTACCTCAATCAGACCTTACATTCAAAATACAAAATTGAATTTAAACTGTGTAAATACTTATCATGAAACTACAATAATTAGATAATTTGGTGATGAGGTAAAAATAGAACTATAGAACGGATTAGAAATCAGTAACTGACCAAAATGGTGACTTTATATATAATAAAGATGGCATGACAGGTCTCCATGTAAAAGATGGGATATTCTAAAATTATATTTGGGGAGTAATATCAGGGAAGATGGTAGAGTAGAAAGTGCCATGAAACCATCTCTCCACTTAGAAAATTTTACTGGTAAAAAACTGTCTGAAGTGACTAGATTGAAATTATGGGTTCTATATGAACTTTTGCAGTGTTTAGGGGAAAGTTTAGCTAAAAAAAACTATGAATAATAGTGAATTTCACCCTTCAGTGCGGTAGCAGCTACTAAATCTCCAATCTCCAGGCCCATGACAGGCAGCTGTGGAACACCAACCTGCATTTGAAACATGATTTGCTGGAGCCAGGGTGGACAGTAAATACATTGTATTCTAAGAATTGGGGTTTGTATTCTGATTTTTGATTGTTTAAGATTACTGGCACAGAGGCTGGTCATTGTTTCACACCTACCAGCCAAGGTGGCTTCTAAGGTAAACAGAGGAGATGCACCCAGGGTGTTTGTGGGAAGGGGCATTCAAAAACAACCGCATACCCAAAAAAACAAAAACAACAACAAAAAAAAAACGCATATAAAGGATAATTTAGAAAGCCACTGTGCATGCACAAGAAAAGACAGTCTCAGAAAAGCCCTGAGAAGTTAAACTTCCACCTCAGGTTGATTTCCAGCAAAGAGGCTCCCTACAACAACAACATAAAAAACAGAATCCTGGATATGGAAAAGGGAATCTGATTTCCAAAGTTATCACATTATAAGATTCAAATGCTCAGTTTTCAAAGGCATACAAAGAAACACAAGAGTGTGGCTTCTTCGAAGGAACAAAATAAATTTACAGGAAACTTACCTAAAGAAGCACAGGTGTGGGGATCCCTGGGTGGCGCAGCGGTTTAGCGCCTGCCTTTGGCCCAGGGCGCGATCCTGGAGACCGGGATCAAATCCCACGTCGGGCTCCCGGTGCATGGAGCCTGCTTCTCCCTCCTCCTGTGTCTCTGCCTCTCTCTCTCTCTCTCTCTGTGTGACTATCATAAATAAATAAATAAAAGTCAAAAAAAAAACTTCAAAAAAAAAAGCACAGGTGTCACACATAACAAAGACTTTAAAACAATTGTCTTATAGATGCTCAAAAATCTAACAGAAGACATGGACAAAGAAAGGAATAATGTATGAGCAAAGTGAGGATATCAATGAAGAGAAATAATAAAAAGGAACGAGAAAGAAATTTTGGAATTGAAAGTTAACTGAAACGAAAATATACTTGAGAGGCTCAAAGGCATATTTGAGCAAGCAGTAAAAAGAATCAGTTAATCTGAAGTAAGGGCAATGGAAATTATTGAGTCTGATAAATAGGAAGAAAAAATGAAGGAAAGTGAACAGAGCCTAAGACATCTGTGGGACACCATCAAGCTGACCAATAAACCAACATATACAATTCTAGGAACTCCAGAAGAAGAGATAGAAAGGAGCAGAGATGTGTGTTTTGAGTATTGAGTTTTATAACTTCTTTATATATTTTGGATACTGTTTATCAGATATGTCATTTGCAAATATCTTCTCCCATTCAGAAGGTAAACTTAGTTTTATTGTTTCCTTCACTGCTAAGTGAAATAAGTCAGTCAGAGAAAGATAACTACCATATGATTTTAATCAGTTGTGGAATTTAAGAAACAAAACAGATGAATATGGGAGAGAGGCAAACCAGAAAACAGACTCTTAACTATAGAGAACAAACTGAGGGTTACTAGAGGGTGGTGGGGGTAATGGGTTGAATGGATGATGGATATCAAGAAGGGTACTTGTGATGAGCATTGGGTGCTGTATGTAAGTGATGATTTACTAAATTCTACACCTGAAACTAATGTTACACTGTATGTTAACTGACTGGAACTTAAAAACTTGAAAGAAAAAACAAGAACAGAAATTATCCAAAAAAAAGTAATGGCTGTAAACTTTACAGATTTGATTAAAGACACATGTGCAAATCTAAGAGGTTCAATGAACTCCATGTTGGAAAAACAAACTAATCCACACTAAGACATATTATAATCACACTACTGAAGGACAAAAACAAAGAGAACCTTGAAAGCAGCAAAAGAAAAGTGACTTGTCACATACAAGGGATCATCCTTAAGATTATTAGCACCAGATACCTTGGAGACAAAAATGTAGTGAGTTTATATATTCAAAATGCTGAAGGAAGAATTTATACCAAGAATTCTCTATCAGGCAAATACTATTTTTTTAAATGGAGAGTAATTAAAACATTCTCAGATAAACAGAAGTTGAAGGAGTTCATTTCCACTAGATATATCCTGCAAGAAATGCTGAAGGGAGTAGATTAAAATGAAAGGGACACTAGACAATATGAAGCTATATGAAGAAATATAGACCTGCAGTAAAGATAAATATAGGGCAATTATAAAAGCTAGCATCATTTTAGTTGGGATTGTAACTCCACATTTTAAAATACTATTTAAAACACAAGTAAGAAAAAAAATAAAATAAAAAACACAAGTAAGAAAAAGCAATCATTAAGCTATACTTTTGGGTCCACAATGTATAAAGATATAATCTGTGATAACAATAACAGAAAAAAAGGGTGATGGAGCTGTAGAGAGGAAAGTGTTGTAAGCTACTGGAGTTCAGTTGGGATGAATTCAAATTAGATTACTATGCCTATAGAATTTTAAATGTAATCCCCCTGGTAACCACAAAAAAAATCTATAAAATATATCCAAAAGAAAATTAGAAGGCAATTAAATATTTTATTACAAAAATCAATTAAATACTCAAAAAAAGGCCATAATGGAGGAAATGAAGGGTGTAAAAGTTATAAGACTTATAATAACATAATGGCAGAAGTAAGCCTGTTCTTATCAATAATTACTTTAAATGTAAATGAATTAAACACTCCAATCAAAATATATTTTCAGAAGAGATTAAAAGAACATGATTCATCTACATGTTCTCCATAAGAGACTCACTTTACCTCCAAAGACAGATTGAAAATGAAAAAATTGAAAAAGATATTCCATACAAATAGTAACCAATAGAACGCTT